GGAAGCAGAAAGGAGGTGAACAAAGTGACTGTTTTACAGACTTAGAAAATTGTCTAACCTACTGTACCAAGGATTTGTGTGCTTTTAGAAAGATCTCTTAATGCTTTTCTGTTGGCTTCTGGGAGGGAAAACACATGTTTCCTACTCTGGAAAGCCTGCTTCACAGCTGGACTTCACGGGGATGGCCAGACCCTGCTTGAAATCACCCAGTTACTGAAGGACACTTGATGATTTGCCGACAGTTCAGTTCTGGAACCATTGCCATGTCAGCCTCAATTTTCAAAGGATTCTTTTATTTATGTGAGAGGCAGAGTGACAGAGAGAGGGAGAAACAAAAAGAGAGATCACCCATCTTCTGGTTCTGTCCCAAATGGCTGTGATGGTTGGGGCTGGGCTAGGCTGAAGCCAGGAGCCAAGAACTCCATCTGGATCTCCCTTGTGAGTGGCAAGGACCCAAGAACCTAGGGCATCTGCTGCTTTTCCAGGTGGGCCCCTGGGTTAGACTCAGTGAGATCAATGAGTCAGGGACAAAGGAGTGGTATTTTACTTCTCTAATTATAGGAAAGAAATGGGGCTATAGCAAGATACTAAATAAAGTTGGAGATATCTACCTCCCACACTCAATATTATACTACTTGAAATTATTCTATTTTATCACTTACAAAACAAAAAACTTTTGTAAGATTAACACTTGGCCTGTTTCTTTTTCTTTCTGCAACACTTAACTTCTTATTAAATTGGTACTAAATTAAGTTGGCTCCACTGTAGAATTTATCTTCAAATTTTAATGTTTATTTTGTAAGCATCCTATTACAGTTGACCTTGGTCTGAAATCAAGTTGCTGTTTCTTTTGGGTTATATTGAGAATGTTGGGTTCTCAGAAAGAAATCCTTGATCAAAGCAAGTTTTAATAAGGTCTCAAGTTCTCCGGTTCTTCCACCAAATTAAACTTCCATCATTTTAATAAGAGTTGTCATCTCAAGATGTGGCATAAGAAGATTGGATTACAACCACATCTCCAAAACTATGCAGAGAGCTAATGAAAAATGACATCTCGTGTTTGTTTCTTTTAACTTCAGTACATTCAGAATAGTAGTGTTTTTGGCTTAAGTGATAAAATCCAGTCTTTTTTATCATTCAACATTTTATTTAACAAACATATACACTATTTAATATGGCACTTTATTAGCTTATTTATTCCTTAGAACAATCCACCAAAGTAGGTACTACTATCCATATTTTCCAAGTGAGGAAACTGAGGCATAGAGAAGTTAAATAACTTGCCGTAAGATTGCAGGCTTGTAAGCAGCAGAGTTGGGAACTGAACCCAAGCATGTTTGTTCCATTACCTATTCAATTCTCTATGTATCATAATGGTTAACAACCCAAACATAAGGGTAATGATGTTGAGTAAAATTCCCCATTGCTCACTTCACTAATAGTCACTTTTTTAGATATTTATTTATTTATTTATTCATTCATTCATTCATTCACTCATTTGGAAGTCAGAGTTGAGAGAGAGAGAGAGATCAATCTTCCATCCACTGGTTCATTCCCCAAATGGCTGCAACAGCTGGGACTGGGCCAGGCTGAACCCAGGAGCCAGGAGATTCATTTGGGTCTCCCACATCGGTGCAGGGGCCTGAGTACTTGGGCCATCTTTCACTGCTTTTCCAAGTGCATTAGCAGGGAGTTGGATTGGAAGTGGAGCAGCTGGGACTCAAATCAGGTTAACCCTCTATGCCAAAACACCAGGCCCACAAGTTTTATTCCCGCCCCCACCCATTTTGTTGATTTCAAACATGATCTACTTGTAGACTATTCTAGGAAGGAAGAGGTGGCCATGCCAATTAGAGCTGTAACAACAAAGGGTGGCATGCTCCTGTTTGATTTTAAACTGTGGATACCAGAATTTACAGTTTGTCCTAGAATGTTTAGGGCAGTTATTGTTTCAAATATTTTATTGCACAATAAGTTCATTCTTTTTGTTATTTGGGCTTGGAAAAATAGGACAGCAGTGACTGTCCTTCCATTCATTTCATAATGAAGTGAGTGAGTGAGGATCCAGACTCAATGGTGCTGAGACGCCCTCACTTTTCTCCCAGCCACCGGTAGTCCTTGCAGTCCCTCTGTGCCTCTGGTCAAGCATTCAATTTTAAAATCTGAGCTCCACTCTCAACCTCTCCTATGATTCATTTAAGCAAAAAATCCTATTGCCTACATAATTTATATAGTTTCCAAAGCTTTTCATGTTATCAGTTTCTAGTTTTTATTGCTAATGCCACATAATTGAGATGGCTTTAGAACTTGTACTTGTTTTACAGACCCTTAAGGAAGTGTACAAAGCTGCATATTCTATTCACCAGAGGGGCTATTGCATCATTATAGGAGAGTTTCTCAAAGCAAAGTCAGGAAATGCCTGCAACAGGATCAAGAGGGGTTGTGTCTAAAAAGGCACATGTTGGACGGACATAGTGGTGCAACAAGCTAAGCCACCGCTTGCATCATGCTAATTGGAATCCCCGCTGCTCTGCTTCCAATCCAGCTCCTTGCTAATGCTCCTGGGATGTGAGTCAAGGATAGCCCAAGTACCTGGGTCCCTGCCATCCTGGGAGATCAGGATGGAGTTCCAGGCTCCTGGCTTTGGTCTGGCCCAGCCCTGGCTATTGTGGGGACTTGGGGAGTCAACCAGTAGATGGAAAATATCTGTCATTTGGCCTTTCAAATAAAAATAAATAGGGGCCAGCATTGTGGTGTAATGGGTAAAGCTGATGTGTGTCCCTGTTGTTCTGATTCTGATCCAGCTCCCTGCTAATGGCCTGGGAAAAGTAGCAGAAGATGATCGAAGTACTTGGGTCCTTGCCACCCATGTGCGAGATCTGGGAGAAGCTTCTGGCTCCTGGCTTATGCCTGGCAGAATCCCACCTATTGCAACCATTTGGGGAGTGAACCAGCAGATGGAAGATATCTCTCTCTCTGTTTAACTCTTTCAAATGTATCAATTAAATAAATTAAAATTTTTAAAGAAAGAAAATAAAGTTTAAAAAATATCCCTGGGCCTTGTTTAACGAATCGGGATATCTGGGCTTGAGACCCTGGAATCTGAAGCTTTTTGAAGTACCCCAGGCTATTCTTATGCATGTTCAAGTTTGAGGACTACTGCTTTAGTTTGATTTCTCACAGCATCTCTGTAACCCATGAGTTTAAAGTGGGGATTCATGAAGAAAACACTACAGCTTTAGAATGATGGAGCTGGTATGGTTAGCACCAGGGTGATATAATTTAGGTCAATCAACAGGTACCTGTGGAGAGCCTAATCTGACTCAGCCCAAGTGTATTCTTCAATAAAGACCATAGGCCTGCGCCATGGCTCAATAGGCTAATCCTCCGCCTGCAGCGCTGGCACCCCAGGGTTCTAGTCCCGGTCAGGGCACCGGATTCTGTCCCGGTTGCCCCTCTTTCAGTCCAGCTCTCTGCTGTGGCCCGGGAGTGCAGTGGAGGATGGCCCAAGTGCTTGGGCCCTGCACTCACATGGGAGACCAGGAGAAGCACCTGGCTCCTGGCTTCGGATCAGCACGGTACGCCGGCCACAGTACGCCAGCCGCAGCGGCCATTGGAGGATGAACCAAAAGTAAAGGAAGACCTTTCTCTCTGTCTCTCTCTTTCACTGTCCACTCTGCCTATCAAAAAAAATAAATAAATAAAGACCATAAATGAGTCTTAATATTCAGCCAAATTAACTAGAAGGAGGGGAGATCACGTAGTTTAAAAACAGAAGTATACTGAGGAACAAAACGTGGTGGTAACTGTGGAGAGAAAGGGCCAAATTCTTGAAGCATCCTGACATAAAAATAATGTAAATTAGTGAAAAATGAAAACATTAGTTACATTATTTAGGGGCAAGTGCTGTGACACAGTTGATGAAGTTGCCACTTGCAACACAGGCAACCCATATCAGAGCTCTGCTTCTGATCCAGCTTCCTGCTAATGCGTTGGGAAGGCAGTGAAGATGGCCCAAGTGCTTGGAGACCCAGATAGAGTTCCAGGCTCCTGCCTTCAGTCTGGCCCAGCCCCAGCTGTTGAGCCATTTGGGGGAGTGAACCAGTGATCGAAAGATCTCTGTCTCTTCCTCTCTAATAAATAATTTTTAAAAGACATTATTTAGCTGTGATACTCATAAAGGCTGGGGCTAAGATAATTCAGTGCTACACTCCTTATGCCAAATATTAGCCCTTTTTGGATTTAAGATTCTCTTTGAAAAATATGATGGAAGGTGTGGTTTCTTTCTACTGAAGGCTAGAAGCAAGTACTTCCTGTTTGTGAGATTAAGTTGAATTGTTTACGTAGTGTTGTGTCTGTTTTTTCCCTTCATTGAGTGGCTTGGCTACTTTGTTTACCTTTTTTTCTTAAGATTTATTTTTTATTTACTTGAAAGGCAGAATTAGAGAGAGAGGAGAGACAGATCTTCCATCTGCTGGTTTATTCTCCCAAATGGCCACAATGGCCAGGGCTGGGCCAGATCAAAGCTAAGAGCCCAAAGCTTCATCAATGTCTCCCACCTGGGTGCTGGGGCCCAAGGAATTTGGCTATCTTCCACTGCTTTCCCAGGTGCATTAGCAGGGAGCTGGATCAGAAGTGGAGCAGCTGGGCCTCATACCATTACATATATGGGATGCCAGCATCATAGGCAGAGGCTTAGCTTACTATACCAAAACGCCAGCCCCTACTTTCCTTACCTTTGACAGACATAATTATAGAACCCTTTGCTAGAAAAAGTGAACCTATTGGTTTCTTTTAAGAAATAAAGACCCATTGCACCTAATTTCCCTTCCTCCCAATATTTTACTGAAATAGAAAATATGTAAAAAATAACAATGAAATCCCAACAGTGCTAGAGAGAGTAGTGTCAGGAGGTCAGATGCTTGGAGAAATTCTTCAAAGAGAAGCAGAGATGACTGCACCAATGAAAAAGTCAAAACAGGAACTTTTGGCAAACCTACCAGAGATGAATGACGTTCTTCTTAGGGGAGCCCAAAGAAGTCATTGTCAGGGTAATTACAGCTGAGTTCCCTGTCCACTGGTCACTCAACTCCTGCCTACAGGACAAAATCTGGAGGCACACTCTCTGTGGAATGGGGGTGCTCTTTTGGGAGTGTGGCTGTGGCACCTTGTGGGAGAAACCAAGTAGATAGAGAAGAACATCATAAACATGAAAGAGGCATGCACAGAGAACCATCCAGCCCAATCACAAGTCAATTCCTTGACCATTTGGATGTGACCCAGATGACATACCACTTTTCTGCCCCTGGTCACTACTGGGCACCTGCTGCCACACCTCCCACCCTTATACAGAAGCTCCAGTCAGCCCTTCCCCTTTAAGTGTGAGTATCCTCTTCAGCTGATGAGTTTGTATCTCCTTTGGACTAGTACTTTCATGGGTAACAACCATAAATGTTTGGAAATATACAAAAATATCACTAATTAAAAGTGCTTGGAAGTAACTGAAAGCAGATATTAGATGTGGGGAGCAACCCGGACTGGACTGAGTTACTGGAATTAAGACTTATTCTATGCATCTGCTCTCCCACAATATGGCACTGCGAGAGGAGAAAACAGCTTCTACGCAGCTGCCTCTTGCCAACTTGAGTGATGACCTCCAGGAGCTGATCCTGCTCCTGATTGGAGGAGAGCAGCGTACTCGGTGTGTGGGCAGCCGAGTTAGGATTGGCGGAGGAGGACTATAAAGGAGGAGAGAGACGGCATGCACCAGGAACATCTAAGGGGAACATCTGAAGGAACACCTGTGCAGGCCCCGAGAGAGCCGGCCGGCGGTGTGCCGCTCCCCTGCGGAAGTGGGGAATGTGGCAGGGGGAACCGCCCTTCCACGGAGGTGGAAGGGATGGTAGCCAACCCGGGAAGAACCAGCAGCAAACCCGGGGAGGGCCGAGCAGATGAAAGAACAGCGCAGGGTCCTGTGTCGTTCCTCCACGAAGACGGGGAGCGACAATTAGAGGGATTCAATACTTGAAAAAAGGGAATAGATTTAAAAAAAAAAGATTTTCTTTATTTACTTGAGAGGTAGAGTTACAAACAGAGAGGAAGAGACAGAGAGAGAGGTCTTCCATCTGCTGATTCATTCCCCAATTGACCGCAATGGCTGGAGCTTGGCTGATCCGAAGCAAGGAGCCAAGAGCTTCTTCCAGGTCTCCCAAATGGGTGCAGAGGCCCAAGCACTTGGACCATCCTCCACTGCTTTCCCAGGCCATAAGCAGAGAGCTGGAACAGAAGTGGTGAGGTTGGGACTTGAACAGGCACCCATATGGGATGTTGGCACTGCAGGCAGAGGCCACAGAGCTGGCCCCATTTTTAAAAGATTTTTAAAAACCATTTACTGATGCTGGCACTGTGGTGTAGCAGGTAAAGCTACAGCCTACAGTGTCTGCATCCCATATGGACACCAGTATGAGTCTTGGCTGCTCCACTTCTAATCCAGCTCTCTGCTATGGCCTAGGAAAGCAGTGAAAGAGGGCTCAAGTCCTTGGACCCCTGCACCCACATGAGAAGACACAGAGGGGGCTCCTGGCTCCTGGCTTTGCATCAGCGCAGCTTTGGCCATTGCAGCCAATTGGGCAGTGAACCAGCTGTTGGAAGACCTTTCTCTTTGACTCTCCCTCTCTTGTGTTTGTAACTCTTTCAAGTAAATAAATAAATCTTTAAAAAATATTTTAAAAAGGTTTATTTATTTGAAAGCTAGGATGAAAGAGACAGAGAGAGAGAGAGAGAGAGAGAGAGAGAGAAAATCTTATTGGTTCATTCCCTAAATGTCAGCAAAGGCTCAGCTGAAGCCAAGAGCCCAGAACACCATCCAGATCTCCCACATAGATGGCAGGGGCCCACATACTTGGACCATCTTTCTCTCCTTTCCCAGGCACATTATTAGCAGGAAGATGAATTGGAAGCAGAGCATCTGGAACACAAACTTTTGTTCTGATATGGAATGCTGGTGTTGCCAGCAATGGCTTAACTTGCTGCACCACAATTCTAGCCACGTTATGGCTTTTAGCATAAGGAGAGGCTCATGTCTGTGTGTGCAGGGGCAGAGGGAAGGTGTGGATACTACATCTCAGATTTTTAAAAAATCCATAGTCTTAATGCCTTGTAGTACAAATTACAATGTTTGAGGGCATCTGAGAAATGAAAAAGACCTCTACCCAATTTAAAGCCAGAGACAGGGAACTCCAAACTCTGTCTATAAACTCTGCCCAGACTCTGTGGCTGACCCCCCATACCTTGAATTAATTATTCACAGGCACCACAGGTAGGCTGAAAAAACTGAGCTGAAATTTGAGCTGTTCCCATGGCAGGGGAGACAACTTTCAGGTTTTTATCCAAATTAACTGACTGCTTAAAACAATCAAGCAAACAGACAAGTAAAACACTAGCTTTCTGGAGAAACATAATAGAATCCAGAGTTTCTAAAAGATATCATTCACAATATCTAAGATACAATCTAAACTTACTCCACAAAAAAAGAAAAAAAAACAAGAAAATATAATCTATGTTCAGGAAAAAAGACAATTGATGAAGACTGGTCCTCAAATGACTAAGATGTTGCAATTAGCACACAAGATTTTTAAAGCATCTATTCAACAAGACATCTGTTGGGGAAACAGACATACAGACTAAAAGGGAAGCCAAAACCAACAATCTCTACTAATCCTCAAAGATCCTTGTGGATTACAACTCATAGAGATTTGAGAAAAAGCTAGAGCATAATAGAGAAGGTCCAAGGTTAATGAACTCAGATAAAACAGGGATGATATATGGAGCATGGAAAAACTTGAAAAATTCTTAGAGGGTTCAGCTGTGGTGAAGTGGGTCCAGTTGACACCTGTGATGTGGGCATCCCCTGTGATTGACAACTAGAGTTCCAGCTGCTCCATTTCTGATCCAACTTCCTGCTAATGCACCTGGGAAAGCAGCAGAAGATAGGTCGAATACTTGGGGCCCTGCTACCCACATGAGAGACCTGCATAGAGTTCCAGCCTCTTGGCTTTGGCCTGGCCTATCCCTGATTGTTGTGGCCATTTGGGGAGTGAACCAGTGGATGGAAGATATCTCTGTGTCTCTCCCTCTCTCTGTAACTCTGTGTTTTAAATAAGTAAAAATAAACCTTAAAAAAATTCTTAGAATCCTTCAGGATATTCATGAGAAGACTGTAATTATAAAATAATAATAGGTCATTATAAAAAGAAACTGTGAGTAAGAAAGAATTCTTGGAAATTAAAAAAAAATAATGAATTTGCTGGAGACCAAGTTGGCGAAATTTCCTAGCATGTAGTAAAATAAAAAAGTAGAAAACATGAGAGAAAAGTTGAGGCAGAATAATAGATGCTGGAAATTCAAGTTTCAGAATGCAATTTCTCTGAATTGAAAGAAAGACAAGTGTTTTTAGTTTGGAGAAAAAAAAATTGTTAAGCCATGCAGGATTAGACAGAAAAACAAAACAAAACAAATAAGTACCCATGCCTAAATATATCTTGGAAAAAATTTTGGAATGCCAAGTATAAACAAAATATCTTCAAAGATACAGGCAAAACCAAGCAAGAACAATTACTTACATCAATATCAAAATTTTCTCATCAGAAATTTTGTAGGTGTGAAGACAACATAATATTGCCTTCAAAGTTTTTGGGGAAAATTGTTTCCAACCTGAATTTACTCAAGAGAGATAAGTGGGATATCAAAGTATAGACACATTTTGATGTGTCAGAATCAGAAAGCTTACTATTCTCGTGCCCTCTGAAGAAATTAGTTGAAAAAATGAAAACAATATATAAGAAAGAGGATACTATGGGGGAGAGCAGAGAACAATGTGAAAAAATCATCAAATAAAAGCCTAAGTATGTCTCATAAAATTAATGCTGCTCACTTGAAGATTTAAAACCAGATATTGTCAACAAGATTATCTGAGGTGATTGAAAGTAGGTAGAAAAACCTTTTGATTTAAAGTTTACATTCTTTTTAAAAGTTTTTGGAAGATTTATTTATTTATTTGAAAAGCAGAATGACAGAAAAACAGAGATATTCCATCCTCTGGTTTATTCCCCAAATGATAGCAACAACCAGGGCTGGGCCAAATCAAAGCTATGAGCCAGAAACTCCATCCAGGTCTCCAATGCGGGTGGCAGAAATCTAAGCACTTGGGCCATTATCCACTAGTGCCTACTTTGCTTCAGATCAGCCCAGCCCCAGCCATTACAGCCTTTTGGGAAGTGAACCAGAGGATGGAAGATCTCTCTCTCTCTCTCTCTCTGCCTTTCAAAATAATAAATCTAAAAAAAAAAAAAAAAAAAAAAAGATGGTTTACAAATAAAACATTTCAGGAAAATCTTGTATCAATTCAGCTACACAAAAAATAATAATATAGGCATATAATAACAATGATTTTTATTTCTTCACAACAATCTGAAAGCAGACATTACAAATTATAATAAAAATACATTTTCTGTTTCAGAAAGGTTGCTAGGTCTATTGGTCTAAAGCCAAACTGTTGGACATTGTAGCCACTAGCTATATATGACTATGGAAACTGCAAATGTGTGGCTCACCGTGATTGAGATGTATTGTTAGGGTAAAAAGCCAATCAGATTTTAAATATTTAGTATTAAAAAGCCCATGATACACCCCACGAACAATTTTTAAATAAGAAATAAACATTGAAGCAATATTTTGGATGCATTAAGCTAGTTAATTTTCATTACAATTCATTTCATGTATTTACTTTTTAAAAATGTGACTGTTAGAATTTTAAAATCACATACAAAGGGATTTGAAAAGGCTCATGGAAAAATGAGTGAAAAGAGAAGTTTACTTTAGTTCAAAAAAACTTTGCAATGCACACACAGTATTTTCAACATGTATTTTCCATGACCACTTTGATGATTTCACATATGGCTTCCATCTGTCGTTCACGTTTTGTTTCTGTTAGACAGCCCTGTTTTAGAGCACCAAAACGCCATACTCTTCTGGCATTGTTCAAAGAGGGTTCACACTTGGCTTGTACTTACCCAGAACCTCCTTGGCTGTGCAGAAAGAATCACCTCAAAGCATTAGAGCAACACAGTAAGAAAAGGAAGTTGGGAGGATAGGGAACAGCACTGAATTCAGGGAGCAGAAATGCCAGGTCCAACATTAAGAAATTGCTGGTTGAATGATTTCTAGTAAAATATTTTTTAGTGTTTGCGCTCTTCTAAAGCACGAACTATTTTTTGTACAGATTGTTTTAATACATTCTTTATACAATGTCATTTTGAGCAAGGTATATCCCACTGGCAACTCCTAGCTGGTTTTCCCTGAATAAATATTGCTGATTTGTTATATGAGGGAATGCCCCTCCACTGACGTGATAATTACTGCTTTATTCTAATCCCATTTAAGAGTCTCCATGATGGTTCACATGCAAGGAATACATTTCAGAGCAGAGGTGATTTCAGCTCTCCAAGTTATCTTTCAGATAATATTTATGATCACAGCAACCAGGCTGATCCTAACTGATCCATATGAAAAAGTCACTTTTATTAGCAGAGAGAAGTTACACATTCTCTTGTTGAAGTTGGGTGATTAGCTTATTCCCTGGGAAACATAGTACATTTGTGCTTTCTCCCTTATCACTAAAGATCATTTGTTGCTTGTGATTATTCATTCTGCCACAAAGTATGAAAAGCAATTATAGCATTTGTCAACAGAGTAGCTCTGTGGAAGGCAGAGGAAATAGCTAAGTTGGGACTGAAGACTCTCTTTATAATAATCAGAATAGATGACAGAAGGAAAAAGAATGGGAATGTAAAAAAATCCCTCAGAATCAGTAAAAAGTAGAGGTTCTTTTAGTCACTGAGAGTTTCAAAAGGTCGTATTGGGACAAGGTTGTGAAAGCTTCTACTTTTATATTTTACCAATGATTAAGGTGTTTGGCCATTGTTAGAGCCAAACACCTTAATCATCACATTAAGGACAGACAATTTAACATCTGGACCAGTAATTAGCTAGTAGTAAATCCTCTATCAATGTTTGTTGAATAAATGAGAAAATTCATGACCTATATTTCTATTTGAAAGCCACATCATTTATTAGCATAAGATGCTGTGGTGTAAGTGTTATGGCTATTTTATCAAGACAGCCCTTTGTCTTTTGTTCTTGCCACTATAGATCACTATGGATGATCTTTCCTTTCCCAAGCCAAAAATGTGGCCACTGCTTGCAGGTTGTTTTTTTTGTTTGTTTGTTTTTCCTGTTTTGCTTTGTTTTTTGTTGTCTACATGGCTTTTGTGCTGCAGCAAGAAGCAGAAGTTACCAGACTGCAGAAAATAAGTCCTTTGTGACTTGTTTGCAATTGGTAAGGCTCAGTGAGAATTTTGCAGGAAGTAAGAGTAAAGGAGGTAAGAGCTTGGAGTTGAACAGGTGTTAGCTGTGACACTCAAAGGCAGAAGAAGATTCCTGAGACTGAGAGATGGGGTGGGGTTTGGATGGTAGGGAGATTTTGCTGGGCACAGATCCCAACACTGCATGTGAGCATCACCTCAGGCAGGGACTGAGGAATATGGCAGACATGGCCTCTGCCTATCTTCAAAAGACAACATGAGCATGGACAGTGAGCTCACTAGAGATCAGTGTGGACAAAGACCTGTAGGGCACTTGGCTGAATTCTCCCACCAAGTACCTTATGGGACCTTTAGTAAAACCTGAGGAAGCGGAGAACCTTACCAATAAGTGAGATGAATTTCTCACCAACTAGATGGTTTCACAGTTCAGAGCAGAATAAAATTTCTTCAGAGCAAACTTCATTGTAGTGCAATGGCATCATTCATGAAAGTACTTGCTTGGGCAATGACCCATCCATAGCATAAAATGAAAAAAATAAAAAAATACAAGAACTAGATGTGACTTCCATGTTAATCTGGTTCAGACTCCTCTTTTTCAGCTTAGGACACCAAGGCTTAGGATAGAAAAAAACTTGTTCTGAGTGGTTGAATCACAGCCAGTGCGGAGCTGGGGCAGTGGGTCATCAGTTCACTTTTCTATCTCATCATTTACAAAACACAGATATATTTTTGGAAGTTAAAATACATTATTATTTCATCATGGCCATACATTTCACCTATCAGAATAAAATCTTATAATTTTAAAATGAAATAAAAAAGTTAAAAAAATAAAAAAACACTAGATTGTATAAAAATCCACCATCAAAAAGGAATCATGGCTCCATGGATTTCCAGTACTCTTCATTATAGAAACTGGGGGAAGATGACCTGAGCTGCACCTAAACCTGCTGACATTACAGTTACTGAGAATTCAAAGCTCTTTGAAGGCATCTTTTTTTAATTTTTTTTTTATTTTTTGACAGGCAGAGTGGACAGTGAGAGAGAGAGACAGAGAGAAAGGTCTTCCTTTTGTCGTTGGTTCACCCTCCAATGGCCGCCGTGGATGGGGGCCCCGCCCGCTGGGACACCACGCTGATTCAATGGCAGGAGCCAGGTGCTTATCCTGGTCTCCCATGGGGTGCAGGGCCCAAGCACTTGGGCCATCCTCCACTGCACTCCCTGGCCACAGCAGAGAGCTGGCCTGGAAGAGGGGCAACCGGGACAGAATCTGGCGCCCCAACTGGGACTAGAACCCGGTGTGCTGGCGCCACAAGGCGGAGGATTAGCCTAGTGAGCCGCGGCGCCGGCCTTTGAAGGCATCTTAAATATAGATATATGTATGTGTGAGTGTTAGGCACACCCATAGGAGTCTGTTAGTCATCAAAAACTGCATAGGTATTGCTTCTCAGGTGTGTGCGTGTGTGTGTGTGTGTGTGTGTGTGTGTGTATTAAACCTACCTAATAGCTAAAGATAAAGTTTATCATTTCTGATTGGGTCTCACTTCTTAATAAGAAATAAGTATAACACTACTTCTAGTCCAACTTTATCATTTATCCAGTCTTGTTTAATCTGTGTATTTTCCTACCTTCTTACCCTTTGCTCTTTGCAAGCAAAAGGATGATTGAAATTTGGCTTCTCATTTCTCTCCAGTCACCTGTGCCAGAGAATACAACTGTCCTTTGCAGAAGAGCTTCTTTCTGGCCAAATGAGAAGCCTGCACCACCACTCAGTGATGGGAGGACTCAAGTAACCTGTCAGTCCAGCAACTGTCCCAGGGTGGCTGATTTCAGACCTTGCTATTGGAGGGTCCAAAAGGAAGGGTGTGAGCAGGGTGGTGCCCACATGGCAATAGACTGTCCTTTGAAAGTTGCATCACTGAGAAAGGCTGTATCACAGGGCACTGACCCGGTTTCCCTCTTGTTTGGCATTCTGTTCAGATGTTGCGATAGGAGTCTCTCTGCCAGCAGGGCCCATGGCGGATGAGGATAAACAGCAGCACCACTAGGATACCAGACACCACGCAAAAGGCAACAGCAAGGATGACCTTTAGAACTGTGGGAAAACAGAAAATGTATTAATGTAAAATGAATGCATTAGGAAAATATGAATTTCATATCATATCAGTGTTGACTTCTGCCTTCATTGTAAACATAAAAGGCATTTCTGAAGGAGCCTTGAAATCAGCACAGGGCTGTGAAAAGGACTCAGGATTAGGAGTGAGGAGATGATCTAGATTCCAGTTCCAAGTGCCTTTCAACCTTTTCCTCAGCTCCCACTATAAAGGGAAAATAACTGAGTGAAATATTTCTAAGGACCTCTTCTAGCCCTAACTTTATGCATTCTTCTATAGCTAAATTACCAATTGTCCATGCCCACAGGTCAAAGGAAATTCTGAATATTGAACTGTAATCAACCGGATGTAAAAGCAATGGAATCTTTGTACTTTTGAATTTGATTTTCAGCTGAATATGTTTCAGAGTGAAAATCTTGAACACATATATGTTTATTTACACATATCCTTGATGCTTGGTGAGATAAAAAGATGATACAAGGGCACTTCAAAAAATTTATAGAAAAATGGAATTAAAAGATGTTTATTGTGGCTGGTGCTGTGGTGTAGTAGGCTAAGCCTCCTCCTGAGGCACCAGCAACCCATATGGGCACTGGTTCATGCCCTGGCTGCTCCTCTTCTAATCCAGCTCTCTGCTAATAGCCTGGGAAGGCAGTAGAAAATGGCCCAAGTGCTTGGACCTCTATACCCACATGCGAGACCAGGAAGAAGCTCTTCCTTTTTTCTTTTTCTTTTTCTTTTTTTTTTTTTTTTTTTGACAGGCAGAGTGGACAGTGAGAGAGACAGAGAGAAAGGTCTTCCTTTGCCGTTGGTTCACCCTCCAATGGCCACCGTGGCTGGCGCGCTGCGGCCAGCACACCGTGCTGATCCGATGGCAGGAGCCAGGTACTTATCCTGGTCTCCCAATGCGGGTGCAGGGCCCAAGCACTTGGGCCATCCTCCACTGCCTTCCCAGGCCACAGCAGAGAGCTGGCCTGGAAGAGGGGCAACCGGGACAGAATCTGGCACCCTGACCGGGACTAGAACCTGGTGTGCCGGCACCGCGGCTCAACAGGCTAATCCTCCGCCTAGCGGCGCCAGCACACAGGAGGAAGCTCTTGACTCCAGGCTTTGGATCTGCCCAGCTCCAGCTTTGGCAGCCATTTGGGGAATGAATCAGCAGAAGAAAGACCTCTCTCTGTGTCTCTCCCTCTTTCTGTCTGTAACTCTTCCTCTCAAATAAATAAAAAAAAAGATCCTTAAAAAAAGATGTTTGTTTTGAAGCAGAAAAAAATTTTTGAAATCCATTCATAGTTTTATCATAGTACATATTTTCCATGAATTTTTGATGAATCCTAACTTGGTGGTCATTTAGTTTGAAACACTAATTCATTATTTCATTTGGAAAGTTACTCTCAACATGCACACACCCTAGACAACTTATAGTATACACAAAGTGTTTATACCATCTCTAAATATATGTCTCCTCATCATACAAATATGGGGTTACTTTTTGGCTTAAGAAATGAAAAAGCAAACAATTCTAATCCCATCAGGTCTTTCTATGGAAACTTAGTGCTCCACAGAACACAGCTGGAAATCACTGATGTAGTCTGATCTTATTGTAGACATGAGGAAAATAAGAAGCTAAGAGATCAGATAATGCAGTTAAGGAAAAGCAATAGTAATGGACTTGGATAGTTGGGATATTATGATTTTAAAAGCCATATTTTAACTAATGACTTCCAAATTTAATTTTTCAGCCCTTAACTCTCTCCTAAGCTTACAATTCTTATATCCATCTATGTACTTGACAGAAGGTGGTCCTCTCTTATCTCTGGTTTCATTTTCTATAGTTTTAGTTAGTTATTTGTGGTCAACTGTTGCCTGAAAGTATTAAATGGAAATTTCCAGTAATAATTCATAAGTTTTAAATTGCTCTGAATAGCATGGTAAAATCTTGAGCCATCCCATTCCCATCCCATCTGGGATATTAATTATCACTTCATTTAGCATATCCATGCTGTACATGCTACATGCCCATTATTCATTTAGTAATTATCTAGGTTATCAGATTGATTGCTGTGGTATATGTTTGTGCTCAAGGAATCTTTGTTTTATTTAATAATGGCTCCAAAGCATGAGAATAGTGACACTAGCAATTTAGATATGGCAAAGAGAATTCATAAATTGGTTCTTTTATGTAAAAATGGTGAAAGCACAATAGGATTTTGAGACAGAGCAGGGGAGAGTCCATTCACATAATTTTTTATTTTATTTTATTATTGGTTATTGTTGTTTGTCTTTTACTGTACCCTTTTATAAATTAAACTTTATAATTGGTATGTATGCATTAGGAAAAACATAGTGTGTGTATAGACATATATGTGTATACACACACACACACACACACACACACATATAGTTCAATACATCCATGATTTTAGGCATCCATCATATCCTCCATAGAAAAGGGGGGACTCCTGTATTCCCCTCGACACCTAATGAACATTTCCAACTCAACTAGTCCAAACCTGGTGTCTCTATCACTCCTTCCTCCTTCCCCACACCATATTTGCTTTTCCCACAGCCTTCCTCATCTCGGTTAATGAAAACTCCCTTTTTCTGCTAGCTCAAAACAAAACTTGTAGTCTTGCTTGACTCACTATTTCTTTGACATCCTATACCTGCTCTGTAAGGAATTCCTGCTTGTTCTACCAAAAATATATCCAGACAATAATGACTTCTTTTCTCTGCCACCACCCTTCTGTGAACCAGGATCATGACAATGGCCTTCTGCCTTGTTCAAGACAAATGTCTAGCCTTTCTACATTGCCATCTGTTTTCAACACAGCAACCAAATAATTTTAAGTCAAATTATGCCATCCCTTCACTTAAAGCAAAGTCTAGAATAGATACTCATCTCAATCAGAATAATCACTGGAGTCCTAATAATGACAGTTTATGAGACTCCATATAATCTGGCCTCCATTCACCACTTGGATTTCCTCTCTGGCTACTCTCTCTTCACCTACTCTCTGGCCTTAAGTCCTTTCTGCTGTTTTTCAAATGCACCAGCATACTTCCCTTTAGTGTTTTTGCTGTTATGGCTATTGCCATTTCATGAATAGTCTTCCCTTAGATCCCTGGATTAGGTCCCTTCCTTCCTGTCTTTGCTTAAACCTCATCTTTGCAGTGAATCCTCATCATTTAAAAACACAACTTGCATACCCCCTCCCTTCTACCCCAACCCAACCTTTGTGACTTCATCTTCCAAACCACGTATTTATTACCTGACTGCTAATAGAATGTAAGCTTCATAAAGGCAGGAACTCTTATTTCTTTTGTTCATAAATGTATTCCAGGCACTCAAAACAGTACCTGGCACATAGCAAGTACTAATAAATATTTGTAGAAAAAAATAATGACTCAGAAACCATAGGTTCCCAATTCTTTGTTTAATGTTTTATCTCATGATGCCAGAATGCTTCTTTGATTCACAAGAAGATGAATACTAATAAAGTTAGACCTTCCTGGATAGTGCCATTAGAATAGCAGATGGAGTTAATATCAATTAAATCAGAGTGAAGAAGGAAATCAAGGACTAAAAGGGAATCAGCAAGGAAGGCAGATACTAGTGATTATCCAACCCTTACTTTCATGGTTGGCTTTCTGCATTTATAAACATATTTTCAGTTGTTTATATTGGCTATGTTGTCTTCTAGTCCCATGGAATTTGCTTCCCACCTTTCCCTTCCTGCTTTCCTTCCTAGACATGCACTGGGCACATGTCAGTGCCAGGCAGGCTGTGCTAACTGCTGAGGTTCTGTGATCTCTGCTTTTGAGGAGCTCCAAGTATAGTATAGGAGAATCAGACAGAAAATTATGCAATGATATGATAAATACCTAAGGAAGGCATAAAAGAGATACTGTCAGAACAGAGTGAAAGTTTCAGTCAACAGAATGCATTCTATTTGGAATGGAATGAGTTCAGAAAATCTTCTGAGATTAGAGCTGGCCGTGAGGTGAGTAGGATTTTGCCATGAGACTGAAGGAGTCCACAAAGGCATGTTTGGGAAATAAGGAGAAATAATATGTTTCCTGGTGCATAGACTCAGGCAGGGGAGAACAGATGCTGAAACTGGGACATGGTTTTTAGGTTTCTGGATTTCTAGAAATTATCACAATTATTAAACACAGAAGTGACAATGCTTAATCTGAGTTTACAAAGACTAACTAGAAAAAATAGGATGGTGGCATAATAATAGGTCTGATAGAGAACTACTGAGATATCATGGATAATCTATGGAGGGATCAAAACTAGAATTATTGTCCTGGGAATGCAGGAGAGGGAATTCAAGAGACTCCTGCCATGATATGGAGAGGTTCTGTGACAGACTAAATATGCTGGCAAAGGAGAGCTACAGTCCAGGCAACCCTATCAGTTCTTGACTGAATGGCTGAGAAGACAATTGACACTCAGACACAAAGAAGACAAGTTTGGAGTAGAAGAGAGAACAAATTTTGTTTCAAATGTGAGGTTGAGATGAGTTTTTATCCTGATAGAGATGATCAGTAGGAAACTGGAGAAATCAAGTCTAGAATTCTACACTAAGAGGTGGAAAGAGAGATTGCAGAAGAAGACAGAGGCTTGGTATCCTGACTCCTGATGAGTGTGGAAGGAGGAAACCAAGGACAGGGCCCTGGGAATGATCATTTATGGGCTAGTAGAAGGGATTCATCCAAGAGAAACTGGCCAAGGAGACCTGGAACAAATAAGACTTAGAGCATATATGCTCTCTCTCCATTTTTAAATTATATGCTTCCTGGTACTACAAAAGATAGAATAGTGACCTAAAAGCTGAGCAAGAGTGGTCAATTCTATTTTACTGAGTTTAGGTCTACTGCAAGGAATGAGTACAAAGATGCTCCACTATGTGGGAACACAGAAGTTGCTACTTTTTTGAAAACCATGCTGGTGATAGGTACCAAAAGCCTATTC